TTCCCCATTAGCTCGCTGCAGCGGTCCGCTCGAAAAAAAAGTCTGTCATCCAGCTGGAAGACTGTGTCTGGCGTTTCGCTTGTAATCCACGTTTCTGTGAGGCAAGCACTGCACACTTCTTCATCTCTTCTGAGGCGCCCGCTCTCAGACGAAGTAAATCCATCTTGTTGTCCAAAGAGTGGACATTCGACAGAAAGAGAGACGGCATGGGGAGTTTACCGGCTTTAGCATTAGCTCGTAGCCTCACCATAACCCCCGCCCGGCATCCTCTCCTCTTAAGCCGGGAGCAGCGCTTCCTCTTCTGCCTGCTGGAACGCCTCTGCTGCAGCTTCCAGGTAAATGACTTTAAGATCTGCATTCTGCCGAGCGTAGTTTTGAGTTTGTTTCTGATTTCTTCTATATTACGTGGCAAATCCGCTCCTATTCTCATCAGTTCGGTTCGGCTATAGTTCACACGCATAAATCGCACGGAGTCAGGCACAGAGTCAATATCAAAACTTCTAAAAACTGGGATGGTACCGGGAGCCTGTGAAGCTGCAACTGCTCTCAGCGCGGCCATCTTTGGGGAAGGTGAAGAAAAGAAAAAGGTGAGAATGATTACACATCCCACCCCCTATATGCCACCATGTGCCCACTCCAGACCCTATATATGCATGTGTCATGAAAATGTTATATACGAGTGTCTAGGTTGTTTGATAAAATTGGGGCCCAGGTCTCCATGAACCACGGAGATGGAGGATCCTCCCCGCAGCTCAGTATTGCACCTGAACCCCAAGGCCCTGCTTGAGTGGTGGTGTGATGGAGTGGGTGGAGGAAGACGTCAGGATGGGGAGGAACAACTGAGGTGGCAATGCCCTCCCAGGGGGCCAGCTCCCCCACTGATCCCAATAGGCACCCCCCATTCTCCGAGATCCACCAGGGGAGGGAGGCTCCAGTACATCCATCCAGGAGCAGGAGGCAGCTGCACCACGAGGGACCCAGGCCATGGACCGGCACATAGCCCCGAGGACCGACCAGAACCCGGGCCAGCGACCCAAGCCCCCCTGAGATCATCCAGACCCCCAACCCGATCCCCAGCTCAACACCCAGCCCCCCAACCAAAGAAGCCACCAAACTCCAGCAGCAACAATCAGCCAGGAGTGCCTGAACAGCCGCAGACAGCACACCACGATGACCAAGAGCGCACCCCCACCCCCACAAAAGGACCGACCAGTCCACCACAGCAACACCCACAATGAGAGCACCCCATGCAAGGGAGGGCACACGCCTAACACGCCCAGACACCCCCGGGCCAGCAGTGCAGAGCCACCTGAGCAAAAGCCCCCCCACCCACCCACAGCCCCCCACAGCCTAGAACCCCAGCCAAGCACCAGACCGCAGCCACAGCCAGGCAGGAAGACATCCAGGCTGAGTCCACCCGTTCCCCCCCCCCCACCCCCCCACCCCCACGGCAGAGGCCCCAAAGCCCACCAGCGCACCAAGGGCCCCCAGGCCAGGTCTGGGCGCCGGCGCATGCCAGGGCCGGGTGCCGGCGCATGCACCGGCCCAAGACCCTGACAACATACCCGCCAAGACCTGAGACCCCCGGATCAAGCCGGGACCCCAGCCCGGGAGCAACACTCCCCCAGAACCCCGAACCCGCGCCCACCCCAAACCCACCCAGGAGCAGCCAGGCCACCAGGCCAGCAAACTGCGCCCGCCGGCACAGACCGCCCAGAGGCCTGCATGCAGCCAGCAGAAGTCAACGCCCAGAACCACCAAAGCCATCTCCCCAGTTGAGCGCCATTGCCCCGGGCCCACGACCCCCCCATGCCCCCCAGCCCCGATACCCCCCACATCAACCACAATGTCCCATGGGACGAAATCAAAGGGGTTTACCCACCTCCACTACAGGTTGAAGCCAATCAAAGAAGCCCAGAGAGATTGTTCTGATGTGGAGGTACAGGCTATCTCAAGACTGATGTAATCTAACAAAAGGTCTTTATACTGTTTAATACTAAGAGTATTTTTATTTTTCCAATTTATGAGTATAGTTTTTTTTTTATTGCTATACATAAAGCAGTAAAAATCATGTGAATTGATTTTGTCTCCAAGGTGACATCATCAAAGTGACCCAATAAGCACACTGACGGAGAGAGTGGAATATTACATCTCAGACACTTTGATAAGTCTTCACATATCCGGCACCAAAACCTCTGAACAGGTGGACAGAACCAAAATGCGTGGATGTGATTGTCAGGAATATTGTTTGTACGCTGTGAGCAAACATTAGATGATGCGAAACCCATCTTGAACATCCGTTGACCTGTGTAGTGTACTCTATGAAGGATTTTGTATTGGTCTTAAGTAATGTTCAAATTTTCTGAGATACTGACTTTGGGGTTTCCATTAGTTGTCAGTTGTAATCATCAACATTATACCTGGATTATTGAGCATGGACATTTTTTTGGTTTGAACCAGTTTGACATGACTGTCCACGAGGAAGAGGGCCAGCAACTGAGGAGGGGGCGTGCCAAAGACACCATCTTAGCACCAACATAACTGGTTTGTTCCACTTTGGAGTAAGCTGTTTGGGGTAGGAATC